TTTGCAGATTCATATCAACTTCGAACTTCTTTGACATTACACAGAATATTCTCAGGTTGCAGATAAGGCCACGGTGTGTGGAATACTGTATGTGCTGTGTCTTATGTTACACGTAAATCATTACAACATGTTTGCTTTGAACATTTAGGCATGCTGAACCCACTCCGGTGAAAAGGAACGGCAGCCTGTTTGTGTTTAAAGAGTTGGACACATTCCTGCAGGTAAGAACACAGACAAAGAGCCAACGTCAAGACTCCAAGTTCATACTGATTCCCTTGCCCCCGTGTGACCCAGAGTGAACTGCATAAATCAGATGCAAATTTTATGAAAATCATGTCGTAAACTTCAAAAAGTTCGTTCATCAATCCACCACCTTTTTAGCAGTTATTATAATTATGGAATAGCTATGTAATAACATGCTCATAGACATGCACGAAGCTGCCAGAAATGTAAAATAGCATCCTGTAAAACAAGTGTGTGAATAAGTGGCACCTCTTCACACTGCTCTAAGCCAGATAAAATGTTATGTATATGTGGGGATTAAATTGAAAATAAAAAGTATATTTCAGTAAATTATGCCTGCAGACATTCATACAATCCTATCCACATGATTTATATGGCACTTATCAATCAAGTTTCCAATAAGTTCCACGCTATAAGCAATTGCCCTGGGAGCTCCCTTTAATAAGTCTTGCTAATTATAGAATTATGACTTTTGTTGTTTTTGTACATAAAGAGAAAACTCAAGGATAGAGTTGTGCTAACAAACATATTTTAGAGCAAGGAACAACAGTAGCTGGATTAACTTTATTACATATTCTAATTTTTGTGGATTCAAAGTAAGAAAAGATACCCCAGCGTAATTATGGACAGCAGCAGTATGGGCAAGAGCAGCTAGTAAATTTGAACATTTTTGCCGGGGGGAGAAAAAACAAAAATATTGTGAATTTTTGTGGCTAGATTCTGCAAAATCTCCCATGAACCCCAACGACTGAGAGCCAAAAACAGTCACGCTAGCTGTGTTGTTGTTGTCATTGCTTATTATATTACTACGATTACTAAAGAGAAAACCGAGAGAAACCAAAGGTAATTCAGAGCAAGGGAACACAAAGCTTTAATAACATTAGAATACCCATTTTTTGTGATTTGAAGGTGAGGTACCCCAGCTTTAATTATGACAACAGCAGCAGCAGCAGTAAATGATTGTTTTTTCCTGCGGGGAAAAAAGTGAATGATAGATGGCTAATTCCCTACAGCTTGGTGTCAGAAAAAGTGATGTAATTTTCATATAATTCCTTAAAAATTTTTTGTTGGCCCCATGTGTAAGATTAGTTTTGTAATTGTTGCACACCACTAATGTCTTGTATAAATTGTTATTATTAGGTTATAATGAGAGAATGGTGGACGAGAATAGTATAAGTAGATCAATAGTGGTTAATCATAATTAATGAAAGTATATCTGGTTATCTGGGTTTGAGAACATTTTTGTTATTTTTGGTACGGTTTGCCATCTCATTTGTACATTTCATTTATAAGTCAGCTGAAGTAAGGAGTATGAGATTGTTTTTTTTTGCTTCATCCTACTCCTGTTCTACCTCTCAGGGATGTGATCACTGCTGTATTTATTGTTCCATTTGGGTTGCATTCCCATGAAAAAAGGTTATGATTCTGGCATGTGTTTTAAGGCAGTCTGGGGCCGTGGCACTTCCCTCTCTGGTAATGTGAAGCTTCCTGCAGTCGCTACTCCGGCTGAGTTTGGCTCCGGCTGCACCAGGGGAGACGCCAAGTGAAGTCTGGGCAGGACATAGCTATATTGAGCTGATGTCATGAACGTCACATCAGCGTGTGTTAGCTCTTGCGCAGAACATAGGCCTTTGTGTGCACTCATAATGCAGAATCTGTGCTTTGTAGTGCACACTGCTCCAGGGGGCCCTTTTCTCCACATAGAGTAGCGCGGGTGGGGGGCTGGAGGGGGGACGGGGGGGACAACTGTCGTTATTGTTCTGCACAAAAACCGCTCAACAAAAGGCTTAGAAAAACATTCAAGAATAATATATTATTAGAGGCTTATACATTTAATCTCTTTGAGAAATTGCAGCAGCAATCGTTTGACATCACCATGATTTGTTTATTTATTTTATTTATACAATTATGTTTTCTCTCTGATATTATTTGGATTTTCTTTCTGCTGCTGGACACCTGAATTTCTCCCACGGAGGATCAATAAAGTATCCTATCTACTATCTATCTATCATCTAATCCATATTGTTTTGTCTCCAGAGCCATAAGGTCAGCATGCCAATTGGCATGTTTTAAAGCTGAAGTACCTAACTTTGAAATCACAAAAAAGAACTATGCAATAACATCTACACGTTTCTCACTCTCAAAAAAAACATTTGGTTCTATAGCCCTGTTCAATGTGCATGTTTTGGACAAAGTACATCATCAAAGGCAGAAAAAAGGCGAAACAGAGAGGAACCAAGTCCTCACTGAATGTGAAAGAAAAACATGTTGCTAATAATACAGACTTCAAGTTGTGGGTCTGAGTTGTTGACAAAAAATTACTTTTAACAATACCCACGTTTCCGTTGGGACAAAGTTAGTGCACTTTGATGAATACAGCTGAATACAATTGCTTAAATTTGCTTGAATATTAGCATTTGATGGTGATTTGATTTAGATTCTTGTATTTTCAGTTATAACAGAAAATCCTTTTTTCCGTGGGTAGTTATTCATTAGCTCGTTATGATGATGTCATTACTGACTTAGCCAGATTGATGAATTCATATCCATAGCTTAACATATTAGGTAAAAAAAATGTTCAATTGCCTTAATAGAAAGTTTACTGGTTTGAAGTGTATACAATGAGCTTCGCACTAACAATTCTTGATGAAACTTTTTGTTGTCCTTTATATCATATAATTATTAGATATAAAGATATAGCCAAAGCCAAGCCTTGTGTATAAAACCCGGTCACAGTCTGGCAGCACCTTCATATATTTCTGATTTTCTCAGACTCAACACATTCACTAAACTTAAGACTCGACTCTTGAATTTCTTTTGCTCTTGACCCTTTGCTTGTCTCCTCTATTGTTGGATTGTGTTAAGCACATCAATGACTGCCAAAAGATATATTGGAGAGGAGGACAAGGGCAGATGGTTGCGGTGGCATCTTGATCCGGTTCTCATATGGAGCATTGAAAGCAGCATCCTTCTTCTGAGAGCAGCTGTGATGCGGCTGTGTTGCTGGGAGCAGTGATATCATGTGTTTATTACAAAGAGCCTGTGTAAACTATCAACACGGCCTCTTTTAGCCCGGGGCACAGCCACTGTTGTCATTGATCTTTCTGCCTTAAACTCATCGTCTGTTTTATAATAGTGATAGTATGTTACATGTGAGGGCATTGACGTACGCCGTCTTCACTGACTGAAGCAGTTTCAATTCCATGAAGGTTTTGGAACACAATAGTCTTCAGGTTCAGTGGAATACATCCAGTTTGTGTAGAAAAGACCTCAGGGGAAAAAATAGTGTTATATTCAGTAAGAATGGCCTCTTCCATATCAAACTGTATGGTGTGTGTAATTTTCCTCCAAACTGACCTCAAGATAAACATAAGAGATCCTTTATTCGTCCCACATGGGAAATTTCACATGTTGCAGCGCACCCAACAATTACAGGACAGTAGTAAGAGCAACACAAATACACAATAGGTGAGCTCCTATTTGCGATAGCTGTCCAATCTTCCAATTATAATATTCTGTACTGTATTTGGGTTTCTCTATGTTGTGTCAAACAGTAGTGAGGACTAAGTGAAACCATTATTCTTGTTTTTAAAAACCAGATAATGTTGTGAGCCCGCCCGCACTGGAACCCGGACACAAGCGCCGGACGGTAGTAAACATGTGGCCGAAGACGCACCAGCCGCCTGATGGAAAAGGGCGCACCCAACTGTAACAACCAGGGGCGCCATCTTGGTCCCCCTGTACCTAGCCCGCACAACCTACCCCCCAATACGGTGCTACACCCATTGGAAAGCTCGGACCCTTCACTTCTGGATTGAACACCGGTAGCTGCTGCAGCCTTGGCACGTATAACCCGGGTCCGGGTTCACATACCCCCCTCCGGCGACCCTATCCAGTCCGTGACAAATCTAGCATGTCACCTCCCCGAGTCCTGCGTCCGCGCTTACCTCCGGGCCACCGGGCCGCCGGCGACTCCCGGTTACCATACCTACTAGCACCCAATGTACAATGAGAGACCAGAGTGTTAGAGACGATGCAAGGGCAGCATTCCACCACCCTTCACCCGCTCACCTAGGGGGCAACCTGGGGCAATACCTGGTCACCCACCTCGGTAACACCTGTGTGGCCGATGGTCTCCCCAGACGGACGACAGGAGGCATTCCCCACCCCCCCATGAACCCCCACACTGGCTTCTCTACATTGGCGGCCCACGGCAGAGCGGCCTACTCCCCAGAGCACTTCGCTGAGTGAGTTCAAAAATTGTAAACCTGGCAAGCCGCCCGCAAGATTGATAGTGAAGGTGAAAACACTACTGCGTTACCACCAATATCAATCATCCCCCGGGGGGGACTTCTGCAGCCGAGCAAGAAAACCTTTCGGAGGAAAGGCCGGGAAAAGCGTCGCAGCAAAACTTCAAGCTGATTGGGCGAGTAGTGACGCACTCGAGTGTCCCGCCTACAGCTCCTTAGCCAAAAACCCGTAGTATAAAAAATGCAAAAAACATCTTTGCCGCTCCAGAAATGCCACAATGCGCCTCTCGCTGTTCATCTTTCAAAAAAAGAAATTGGAGTTTCTGCTAAAAACTGACTTGATGCCTCAGCTACGCCGTCGTCCTCCTGCGTCCCATGTTTGTTTTGCTTCGGCCCGGCCCTACATTGCCAAACGTCAAACCCGGATATCCCGCCCTAAGACCCCCAGGGACTGGCGCGTGCTGGCCCTTGAACCCGCGCAGATACGTCCACCCGCCCCTGATACTTCTACCCCCCCCCCCCCCCCCCCCCCCCCCCCCCCCCCCCCCCCCCCCCCCCCCCCACCCCCCCCCCCCCCCCCCCCCCCCACACACACACACACACCCCCCCCCCCCCCCCCCCCCCCCCCCCCCCCCCCCCCCCCCCCCCCCCACCCCCCCCCCCCCCCCCCCCCCCCCCCCCCTCCCCCCCCCCCCCCCACCCCCCCACCACCACCCCCCCCCCCCCCTCCACGCCCAACCACACACACCCCCGCCCCCACACAACACCAACCCCCCACCAACACCCACCCCCCCCCCACCCCCCCCCCCCTCCAGACGAAGTAAACAACACCAATTTAGCAAAGACGAACGCCGTTCTCACAAGGGCACGGGTCAGCGCTACAGGGGAGCAAGGGTCACGTCAGAGGTCACGAGGCCCAGGGTCGAGGTCAGGGGGCCGGGGTCGGCGGACCGCAAGGCAAGCAGATCGTCATGACACGTGTATCCCCTCTAGTAGCCAAGCGGAACGAAGAGCCGAAGTGAGCGGGGGGACCTGTATAGTGCCACTCTCAGATGGGGCTGGCCCGACATCACAGATCTGCTTCTGCAGGATCTGGGACCGGACAGAGACCCGGCAGTGGACTGTCGGCCCCATGGGAGACTCGGGCCCAGCACCGGAACCTCCCACAATGGATGGGGGGAGGGGACCGTATCCCGTCAGCTCACAAGCACCCCTCCGGCGACGGTACCAGGAGACCTCGGACCCGACCAGGACTGGACCCAGACCAAACAAAACACCCCATAATTACATCTACGAGCCACTTGCGCCCCAGGAGCAGGCCAAGGTATCTTTATACTCTTCACTCACTCTTCAGCCCTAAGGATGCGGAGACCAGGACAACAGAGGACAGGACAGGACATTACAGCAGGTACAACGAACATCAATCATTTCCACCACCTCGTTGATGAAGTTGCGAGGAGATCTGCTTTAGACCAGCTTTAGTCCTGGTCCAGTCCTGCTTTAGTCCTGGTCCACTTCCTTATGGCAGAATATAGAGTGAAGAGAATAAGACCAAGTCCTGATCCTTGTGGCTCACAAGTGTCACGTAGAAGTAATAAAGGGTTGTTTTTGTCTTGGTCCAGGTCCTGGGTCTGGTCTCGGGTCTCCTTGGGTCCCGGTCTCCTGGATGTGTTCTTGTGAAGCAGACGATCCGGTTCCCCTCCCCCCTCCATGTGGATGAACCGGTCTTGGCCCGAGTTCAGGTCCAGAGGGTCCGACTGTCCACAGCCCTGGTCTCAGTCCTGGTCCAGACCTCAGAGTCTAGAGTGGTCCTGGAGGGATCTGTGATGGTCCGGGTCCAGCCCCAGTCCAGAAGAGGCACTTAAACAGTCCCCCCGCCCCTTCTGTCTCAATCTGTTCCGCTTGTGCTACTAGAGGGATACACTGTGACATTACGATCTGTTGCCTTCTGACCTCTGACCCCTGCCCCCTGACCTCTGACCCTTGTCCTCTGACCTCTGACCCTTGCTCCCTGAGCTCTGACCCTTGCCCTTTGTGAGAACTGCTTCTTTCTTTTCTAAATGTTTAATAAACTTCTTTCTGTCACTTTTGAAATTTGCTTTGTTTGCCCAGTTTCCTAACCTCACCTGAAGCTGAATTATCTCAGTATTTGTGGTTCACAAACACTGGAGAATACTTCTTGTCCCGCTCCCGCCGACACTTTTCGAGTCGAACATCTCGGTGTTCAAGCCAATCACGCGCCAGTCTGGGGGTTTAGGGCGGGATATCCGGGTTTGACGAAAGCAAGTAGTGCCGGGCCGAAGCAAAACAAACATGGCTACGCAGGAGGACGGACGCGTAGCTGAGGCATCAAGTCAGTTTTAGCAGAATCCCCAATTTCTTTTTTGAAAGATGAACAGCGAGAGGCGCTTTGTGCATTTCTGGACGGCAAAGATGTTTGTGCATTTTTACCTACGGGTTTTGGCAAGAGTGTAGGCGGACACACAGCGTCACTTCGCCCAATCAGCTTGAAGTATTCTGCTGCTTATCCCGCCTTTCCCCGAAAGGATTCTCCTGCAGAAGTCCCAGATTGATATTGTGGAGAACGCATTAGAGTTCTACACAATCATCAATCTGGCTCTTGCCAGGTTACAATTTTTGAACATCACACAGCGGAAGAGCTCAGGGTAGAGCCGCTGCTCCTCCAGTGTAGAGAAGCCAGTGGTGGTGGCTCATGTGTTTGGAATGCCTCCTGGTCTCCTCTGGGGAGACCATGTCCCACAGGAGGAGACCAGGAGGAGACCAGGAATGCCAGGATTCCCCCAGATGAGCTGGAGAAGGTGTGTGTGCATCTGCCCTACAGTCACAAACACACACTCATCTATTGTACATGTTTTAGTAGTAGGGGAAACCGGAGCCCCCGGAGGAAGCCTACGCAGACACGGGGAGAACATGCAAATTTCACACAGAAAGGTCCCGGAGGTGGAATTGAACCCAGGACCTGTAAAGTCCTATCCACTGCAGCACCGTGTCAATCCCATATAGTAAATGTTCCGATCTTTCCATTGGAGTATCACTCGTATTGGGGTTAGGTTTGCGCTATTGTACAGGACCAAGATGGCGCCTGTTTGTTTACATTTGTCTCCCAATACCAACATGGCGGCTGTGCTTCTACGTCACATGTTTACGTCCGCTCTTCCGTGTTCCAGTGCGGCGGCACGTCTGGTTCTGCAACACGGGCTTTAGGTGCCCTTCTCCCGGGCTGTGTGTGCTTCTCCTTCCCGCTATAGACACCCAGCCCTGGTGGGTCTCTCCCGCGCCTCTGTATCTCCTCTGCCCCCGCTCTGGAGCCCTGGGCCGGCATGTCTTCTCACCTAAAGCCGCATCAGAAGCCTCAGGTCCTGGATGACACGGTCCCTCTGAGTGCGACCATCGAAGCCAGCCAGAACCTCCAGTCTCACACGGTACCAGCTCTAAAGACAGCAGCTCCCACATGTGCACCTTCATCCTCACTGGAGCAGTCATGTGTCGTTATAACGTTTCTTTAGAGATAGACTCCAGACACGGAGCTGGCCGAGTAGTTCCATTATCGGACAAAGCTATGGCCTGGATTCACGTTTTACATTTCTTTTATGTATATTTAACGATTATATTAAGCCTTGAAAGTTTAGATAAAAGAATGGGACTTTTACAGCGTTGTATGCGACATAGACTCATAAATTCATAGATGTTTTCACACTTTTTCAAAAGAATATCGGTCATTAGAATCGACTTTGATCGGTTCTGGGTCTGTAACAGTCGCAGGCCGTGGATTAAGCAATTTCCTGAACCGGAAACTCAGATGTTTGGGCTGAAATAGTGTTACTTTAACAAGGGACAGTCGCTTTCAACCAAATTTATTTATATCACACATTGACAACTCCACACAGGGACAGTACTCTGCATCCACAGCGTCACGAGCCGTGGAGCTGTGTTCGGGTGAGTGAAGCTCTGATCTCAGGTTGGGCTGTTGCATGTTCTACTCCTTCCTTAAAAAAGGTCATTTCAATTCATTCATGTCAAGTGTCCTTGTGAAACAAATATATAACGTGATTCTCTCTCTGCTTTCTCTCTGGTCTCTCTCTCTGGTGTCTCTCTGGTGTCTCTATGGTCTCTCTCTCTGGTGTCTCTATGGTCTCTCTCTCTGGTCTCTCTCTGGTCTCTCTCTCTGGTGTCTCTATGGTCTCTCTCTGTTCTCTCTCTCTGGTCTCTCTCTGGTCTCTGGTCTCTGGTCTCTCTCTGGTCTCTGGTCTCTTTCTCTGGTCTCTGGTCTCTCTCTGGTCTCTGGTCTCTCTCTCTGGTCTCTGGTCTCTCTCTCTGGTCTCTCTGTGGTCTCTGGTCTCTGGTCTCTCTCTCTGGTCTCTCTGTGGTCTCTGGTCTCTGGTGTCTGGTCTCTGGTCTCTCTCTCTGGTCTCTCTCTCTGGTCTCTGGTCTCTCTCTCTGGTCTCTCTGTGGTCTCTGGTCTCTGGTCTCTGTCTCTGGTCTCTCTGTGGTCTCTCTCTGGTCTCTCTCTCTCTCTCTGGTCTCTCTCTGGTCTCTCTTGCTGGTCTCTCTCTGGTCTCTCTCTGGTCTCTCTCTCTGGTCTCTCTCTGGTCTCTCTCTCTGGTCTCTCTTGCTGGTCTCTCTCTGGTCTCTCTCTGGTCTCTCTCTCTGGTGTCTCTATGGTCTCTCTCTCTGGTCTCTCTCTGGTGTCTCTATGGTCTCTCTCTCTCTGGTCTCTCTCTGGTCTTTCTCTGGTCTCTCTCTCTGGTCTCTCTCTGGTCTCTCTCTGGTCTCTCTCTCTGTTCTCTCTCTCTGGTCTCTCTCTGGTCTCTCTCTGGTCTCTCTCTCTGTTCTCTTTCTCTGGTCTCTCTCTGGTGTCTCTATGGTCTCTCTCTCTGGTCTCTCTATGGTCTCTCTCTCTCTGGTCTCTCTCTCTGTTCTCTCTCTCTGGTCTCTCTCTCTGTTCTCTCTCTCTGGTCTCTCTCTGGTCTCTCTCTGGTCTCTCTCTCTGTTCTCTTTCTCTGGTCTCTCTCTGGTGTCTCTCTGGTCTCTCTCTCTGGTCTCTCTCTCTGGTCTCTCTCTGGTCTCTCTCTCTGGTCTCTCTCTCTGGTCTCTCTCTGGTCTCTCTCTGGTCTCTCTCTCTGGTCTCTCTCTGGTCTCTCTCTGGTGTCTCTCTGGTCTCTCTCTCTGGTCTCTCTATGGTCTCTCTATGGTCTCTCTCTCTGGTCTCTCTCTCTGGTCTCTCTCTCTGGTCTCTCTCTGGTCTCTCTGTCTCTGGTCTCTCTCTCTGGTCTCTCTCTGGTCTCTCTCTGGTCTCTCTGGCTCTGTCTCTCTTGGTCTCTTCTCTGGTCTCTCTCGGTCTCTGGTCTCTCTCTGGTCTCTTCTCTCTCTGGTCTCTCTGTGGTCTCTCTCTCTGGTCTCTCTCTCTGGTCTCTCTCTGGTCTCTGGTCTCTGGTCTCTCTCTGGTCTCTGGTCTCTTTCTCTGGTCTCTGGTCTCTCTCTGGTCTCTGGTCTCTCTCTCTGGTCTCTGGTCTCTCTCTCTGGTCTCTCTGTGGTCTCTGGTCTCTGGTCTCTCTCTCTGGTCTCTCTGTGGTCTCTGGTCTCTGGTGTCTGGTCTCTGGTCTCTCTCTCTGGTCTCTCTCTCTGGTCTCTGGTCTCTCTCTCTGGTCTCTCTGTGGTCTCTGGTCTCTGGTCTCTCTCTCTGGTCTCTCTGTGGTCTCTGGTCTCTGGTGTCTGGTCTCTGGTCTCTCTCTCTGGTCTCTCTCTCTGGTCTCTCTGTGGTCTCTCTCTCTCTGGTCTCTCTCTGGTCTCTCTCTCTGGTCTCTCTCTGGTCTCTCTGTGGTCTCTCTCTCTGGTCTCTCTCTGGTCTCTCTCTGGTCTCTCTGTGGTCTCTCTCTCTGGTCTCTCTCTGGTCTCTCTCTGGTCTCTCTCTCTGGTCTCTCTCTCTGGTCTCTCTCTCTGGTCTCTCTCTCTGGTCTCTCTCTCTGGTCTCTCTCTCTGGTCTCTCTCTCTGGTCTCTCTCTCTGGTCTCTCTCTCTGGTCTCTCTGTGGTCTCTGGTCTGTCTCTCTGGTCTCTCTCTCTGGTCTCTCTCTCTGGTCTCTCTCTCTGGTCTCTCTCTCTGGTCTCTCTCTCTGGTCTCTGGTCTCTCTCTCTGGTCTGTTCAGGAGTACATAATCCGTGTGCAGAGGGGCGTGTCCTCGGAGAACACCTGGCAGGTAACAACCAGCCCTAACCTCTCCCTAAACTCACCCTCTCCTCTCCCTAACCTCACCCTCTCCTCTCCCTAACCTCACCCTCTCCTCTCCCTAACCTCACCCTCTCCTCTCCCTAACCTCAGCCTCTTCCTCACCCTCTCCTCTCCCTAACCTCACCCTCTCCTCTCCCTAACCTCAGCCTCTTCCTCACCCTCTCCTCTCCCTAACCTCACCCTCTCCTCTCCCTAACCTCAGCCTCTTCCTCACCCTCTCCTCTCCCTAACCTCACCCTCTCCTCTCCCTAACCTCACCCTCTCCTCTCCCTAACCTCAGCCTCTTCCTCACCCTCTCCTCTCCCTTTCCTCACCCTCTTCCTCACCCTCTCCTCTCCCTAACCTCACCCTCTCCTCTCCCTAACCTCAGCCTCTTCCTCACCCTCTCCCTTTCCTCACTCTCTTCCTCACTCTCTTCCTCACCCTCTCCTCTCCCTAACCTCAGCCTCTTCCTCACCCTCTCCTCTCCCTTTCCTCACCCTCTTCCTCACCCTCTCCTCTCCCTAACCTCACCCTCTCCTCTCCCTAACCTCAGCCTCTTCCTCACCCTCTCCCTTTCCTCACTCTCTTCCTCACTCTCTTCCTCACCCTCTCCTCTCCCTAACCTCAGCCTCTTCCTCACCCTCTCCTCTCTCCTAACCTCACCCTCTTCCTCACCCTCTCCTCTCCCTAACCTCACCCTCTCCTCTCCCTAACCTCAGCCTCTTCCTCACCCTCTCCCTTTCCTCACTCTCTTCCTCACTCTCTTCCTCACCCTCTCCTCTCCCTAACCTCTCCCTAACCTCTCCCTCTTCCTCACCCTCTCCTCTCCCTAACCTCACCCTTCCTCTCCCTCTTCTTCACCCTCTCCTCTCCCTAACCTCAGCCTCTTCCTCACCCTCTCCCTTTCCTCACTCTCTTCCTCACCCTCTCCTCTCCCTCTCCTCTCCCTCATCTCTCTCTCTTCCTCACCCTCTTCCTCACCCTCTCCTCTCCCTAACCTCACCCTCTCCTCTCCCTAACCTCAGCCTCTTCCTCACCCTCTCCCTTTCCTCACTCTCTTCCTCACTCTCTTCCTCACCCTCTCCTCTCCCTAACCTCTCCCTAACCTCTCCCTCTTCCTCACCCTCTCCTCTCCCTAACCTCACCCTTTCCTCTCCCTCTTCTTCACCCTCTCCTCTCCCTAACCTCAGCCTCTTCCTCACCCTCTCCCTTTCCTCACTCTCTTCCTCACCCTCTCCTCTCCCTAACCTCTCCCTAACCTCTCCCTCTTCCTCACCCTCTCCTCTCCCTAACCTCACCCTTTCCTCTCCCTCTTCTTCACCCTCTCCTCTCCCTAACCTCAGCCTCTTCCTCACCCTCTCCCTTTCCTCACTCTCTTCCTCTCCCTCTCCTCTCCCTCATCTCTCCCTCTTCCTCACCCTCTTCCTCACCCTCTCCTCTCCCTAACCTCTCCTTAACCTCACCCTTTCCTCTCCCTCTTCTTCACCCTCTCCTCTCCCTAACCTCACCCTCTCCTCCCCCTCTCCTCTCCCTAACCTCACCCTTTTCCTCACCCTCTCATCTCCCTAACCTCACCCTCTCCTCTCCCTAACCTCAGCCTGTTCCTCACCCTCTCCCTTTCCTCACTCTCTTCCTCACCCTCTCCTCACCCTCTCCTCTCCCTAACCTCTCCCTCTACCTCACCCTCTCCTCTCCCTAACCTCTCCTTAACCTCACCCTTTCCTCTCCCTCTTCTTCACCCTCTCCTCTCCCTAACCTCACCCTCTCCTCTCCCTAACCTCTCCCTAACCTCTCCCTCTTCCTCACCCTCTCCTCTCCCTAACCTCACCCTTTCCTCTCCCTCTTCTTCACCCTCTCCTCTCCCTAACCTCAGCCTGTTCCTCACCCTCTCCCTTTCCTCACTCTCTTCCTCACCCTCTCCTCTCCCTAACCTCTCCCTCTACCTCACCCTCTCCTCTCCCTAACCTCTCCTTAACCTCACCCTTTCCTCTCCCTCTTCTTCACCCTCTCCTCTCCCTAACCTCACCCTCTCCTCCCCCTCTCCTCTCCCTAACCTCACCCTTTTCCTCACCCTCTCATCTCCCTAACCTCACCCTCTCCTCCCCCTAACCTCACCCTAACCTTACCCTCCTCCTCCTCCTCACCCTCTCCTCTCCCTAACCTCACCCTCTCATCTTCCTAACCTCACCCTCTCCTCTCCCTAACCTCACCCTCTCCTCCCCCTAACCTCACCCTAACCTTACCCTCCTCCTCCTCCTCACCCTCTCCTCTCCCTAACCTCACCCTCTCCTCCCCCTAACCTCACCCTCTCCTCCCCCTAACCTTACCCTCTTCCTCACCCTCTCCTCTCCCTAACCTCACCCTGTTCCTCACCCTCTCCTCTCCCTAACCTCACCCTGTTCCTCACCCTCTCCTCTCCCTAACCTCACCCTCTTCCTCACCCTCTCCTCTCCCTAACCTTACCCTCTTCCTCACCCTCTCCTCTCCCTAACCTCACCCTCTTCCTCACCCTCTCCTCTCCCTAACCTTACCCTCTTCCTCACCCTCTCCTCTCCCTAACCTCACCCTCTCCTCACCCTCTCTTCTCCCTAACCTCACCCTCTCCTCACCTTCTCCTCTCCCTAACCTCACCCTCTCCTCTCCCTAACCTCAGCCTCTTCCTCACCCTCTCCCTTTCCTCACCCTCTCCTCTCCCTAACCTGTCCCTCTCCTCTCCCTAACCTGTCCCTAACCTCTCCCTAACCTCACCCTCTCATCACCCTCTCCTCTCCCTAACCTCACCCTCTCCTCACCCTCTCCTCTCCCTAACCTCACCCTCTCATCACCCTCTCCTCTCCCTAACCTCACCCTCTCCTCACCCTCTCCTCACCCTCTCCTCTCCCTAACCTCACCCTCTTCCTCACCCTCTCCTCTCCCTAACCTCACCCTCTCCTCACCTTCTCCTCTCCCTAACCTCACCCTCTCCTCTCCCTAACCTCACCCTCTCCTCACCCTCTCCTCTCACCCTCAACCTCACCTCACCTCTCCTCTCCCTCCTCACCCTCTCCTCACCTCTCCTCTCCCTACCTCACCCTCTTCCTCACCCTCTCCTCTCCCTAACCTCACCCTCTCCTCACCCTCTCCTCTCCCTAACCTCACCCTCTCATCACCCTCTCCTCCCTCTAACCCTCTCCTCACCCTAACATCACCCTCTCCCTCCTCCCCTAACCTCACCCTCTTCCTCTCCTCTAACTAACCTCACCCTCTTCCTCACCCTCTCCTCTCCCTAACCTCACCCTCTCCGCACCCTCTCCTCTCCCTAACCTCACCCTCTCCTCGCCCTAACCTCACCCTCTCCTCGCCCTAACCTCAGCCTCTTCCTCACCCTCACCCTCTCATCACCCTCTCCTCTCCCTAACCTCACCCTCTTCCTCTCCTCTAACTAACCTCACCCTCTCCTCTCCCTAACCTCACCCTCTCCTCACCCTCTCCTCACCCTAACCTCACCCTCTGGTTCTTGCAGGTGATTCGTCGATACAGTGACTTTGATGCACTGAACTCCGCCCTCACAGTGAGTCTCCCCCCATCAGAGTCTCCCCCATCAGAGTCTCCCCCATCAGCTCCCCCATCAGAGTCTCCCCCATCAGTCTCCCCCATCAGAGTCTCCCCCATCAGAGTCTCCCCCATCAGTCTCCCCCATCAGAGTATCCCCCATAAGAGTATCCCCCATAAGAGTCTCCCCATAAGAGTCTCCCCCATCAGAGTCTCCCCCATCAGTCTCCCCCATCAGAGTCTCCCCCATCAGTGTCTCCCCCATCAGTGTCTCCCCCATCAGTGTCTCCCCCATCAGAGTCTCCCCCATCAGAGTCTCCCCCGTCAGTGTCTCCCCCGTCAGTGTCTCCCCCGTCAGTGTCTCCCCCGTCAGTCTCCCCCATCAGAGTCTCCCCCATCAGTGTCTCCCCCATCAGTGTCTCCCCCATCAGTGTCTCCCCCATCAGTGTCTCCCCCATCAGAGTCTCCCCCATCAGAGTCTCCCCCATCAGAGTCTCCCCCGTCGTCCCTCAGTGTCTCCCCCTCAGTGTCTCCCCCGTCAGTGTCTCCCCCGTCAGTGTCTCCCCCGTCAGTGTCTCCCCCTCAGGTCCCCATCAGTGTCTCCCCCATCAGTGTCTCCCCGTCAGTGTCTCCCCATCTGTCCCCATCAGTGTCTCCCCCATCAGTGTCTCCCCATCAGTGTCTCCATCAGTGTCTCCCCCATCAGTGTCTCCCCCATCAGTGTCTCCCCCATCAGTGTCTCCCATCAGTGTCTCCCCATCAGTGTCTCCCATCAGTGTCTCCCATCAGTGTCTCCCATCAGTGTCTCCCATCAGTGTCTCCCATCAGTGTCTCCCCCATCAGTCTCCCCCATCAGTCTCCCCCATCAGTGTCTCCCATCAGTGTCTCCCCCATCAGTGTCTCCCATCAATGTCTCCCATCAGTGTCTCCCCCATCAGTCTCCCCCATCAGTGTCTCCCATCAATGTCTCCCATCAGTCTCCCCCATCAGTCTCCCCCATCAGTGTCTCCCATCAGTGTCTCCCATCAGTGTCTCCCCCATCAGTCTCCCCCATCAGTGTCTCCCCCATCAGTCTCCCCCATCAGTGTCTCCCATCAGTGTCTCCCCCATCAGTGTCTCCCCCATCAGTGTCTCCCATCAGTGTCTCCCATCAGTGTCTCCCATCAGAGTCTCCCCCATCAGTCTCCCCCATCAGTCTCCCCCATCAGTGTCTCCCATCAGTGTCTCCCATCAGTGTCTCCCCCATCAGTCTCCCCCATCAGAGTCTCCCATCAGTGTCTCCCATCAGTGTCTCCCCCATCAGTCTCCCCCATCAGTCTCCCCCATCAGTGTCTCCCATCAGTGTCTCCCCCATCAGTCTCCCCCATCAGTGTCTCCCATCAGTGTCTCCCCCATCAGTCTCCCCCATCAGTGTCTCCCCCATCAGTCTCCCCCATCAGTGTCTCCCATCAGTGTCTCCCCCATCAGTCTCCCCCATCAGTGTCTCCCCCATCAGTGTCTCCCCCATCAGTGTCTCCCATCAATGTCTCCCATCAGTGTCTCCCCCATCAGTGTCTCCCATCAATGTCTCCCATCAGTGTCTCCCCCATCAGTGTCTCCCCCATCAGTGTCTCCCATCAATGTCTCCCATCAGTGTCTCCCCCATCAGTGTCTCCCCCATCAGTCTCCCCCATCAGTGTCTCCCATCAATGTCTCCCATCAGTGTCTCCCCCATCAGTGTCTCCCATCAGTGTCTCCCCCATCAGTGTCTCCCATCAGTGTCTCCCCCATCAGTCTCCCCCATCAGTGTCCCCCATCAGTGTCTCCCCCATCAGTCTCCCCCATCAGTGTCTCCCATCAATGTCTCCCATCAATGTCTCCCATCAGTGTCTCCCCCATCAGTGTCTCCCCCATCAGTGTCTCCCATCAATGTCTCCCATCAATGTCTCCCATCAGTGTCTCCCCCATCAGTGTCTCCCATCAGTGTCTCCCATCAATGTCTCCCATCAGTGTCTCCCCCATCAGTCTCCCCCATCAGTGTCTCCCATCAGTGTCTCCCATCAGAGTCTCCCATCAGTGTCTCCCCCATCAGTGTCTCCCATCAGTGTCTCCCCCATCAGTCTCCCCCATCAGTCTCCCCCATCAGTGTCTCCCATCAGTGTCTCCCCCATCAGTCTCCCCCATCAGTGTCTCCCATCAGTCTCCCCCATCAGTCTCCCCCATCAGTGTCTCCCCCATCAGTCTCCCCCATCAGTGTCTCCCATCAGTGTCTCCCCCATCAGTGTCTCCCCCATCAGTGTCTCCCATCAGAGTCTCCCATCAGTGTCTCCCATCAGAGTCTCCCCCATCAGTCTCCCCCATCAGTGTCTCCCATCAGTGTCTCCCATCAGTGTCTCCCATCAGTGTCTCCCCCATCAGTCCCCCCATCAGAGTCTCCCATCAGTGTCTCCCATCAGTATCTCCCCCATCAGTCTCCCCCATCAGTGTCTCCCATCAGTGTCTCCCCCATCAGTGTCTCCCATCAGTGTCTCCCATCAGTGTCTCCCATCAGTGTCTCCCCCATCAGTGTCTCCCATCAATGTCTCCCATCAATGTCTCCCATCAGTGTCTCCCCCATCAGTGTCTCCCATCAATGTCTCCCATCAATGTCTCCCATCAGTGTCTCCCCCATCAGTGTCTCCCATCAATGTCTCCCATCAGTGTCTCCCATCAGTGTCTCCCCATCAGTGTCTCCCCCATCAGTGTCTCCCATCAGTGTCTCCCCCATCAGTCTCCCCCATCAGTGTCCCCCATCAGTGTCTCCCCCATCAGTCTCCCCCATCAGTGTCTCCCATCAATGTCTCCCATCAGTGTCTCCCCCATCAGTGTCTCCCCCATCAGTGTCTCCCATCAATGTCTCCCATCAATGTCTCCCATCAGTGTCTCCCCCATCAGTGTCTCCCCCATCAGTGTCTCCCCCATCAGTGTCCCCCATCAGTGTCTCCCCCATCAGTCTCCCCCATCAGTGTCTCCCATCAATGTCTCCCATCAGTGTCTCCCCCATCAGTGTCTCCCATCAGTGTCTCCCCCATCAGTGTCTCCCCCATCAGTGTCTCCCATCAATGTCTCCCATCAATGTCTCCCATCAGTGTCTCCCCCATCAGTGTCTCCCCCATCAGTGTCTCCCATCAATGTCTCCCATCAGTGTCTCCCCCATCAGTGTCTCCCCCATCAGTGTCTCCCCCATCAGTGTCTCCCATCAATGTCTCCCATCAATGTCTCCCATCAGTGTCTCCCCCATCAGTGTCTCCCCCATCAGTGTCTCCCATCAATGTCTCCCATCAATGTCTCCCATCAATGTCTCCCATCAGTGTCTCCCATCAGTGTCTCCCATCAATGTCTCCCATCAGTGTGTCCCCCATCAGTCTCCCCCATCATAGTGTCTCCCATCAGTGTCTCCCATCAGAGTCTCCCATCAGTGTCTCCCCCATCAGTCTCCCCCATCAGTGTCTCCCATCAGTGTCTCCCCCATCAGTGTCTCCCATCAGTGTCTCCCATCAGTGTCTCCCATCAGTGTCTCCCATCAGTGTCTCCCATCAGTGTCTCCCATCAGTGTCTCCCCCATCAGTCTCCCCCATCAGAGTCTCCCATCAGTGTCTCCCATCAGTGTCTCCCCCATCAGTCTCCCCCATCAGTGTCTCCCATCAGTGTCTCCCCCATCAGTCTCCCCCATCAGTGTCTCCCATCAGAGTCTCCCATCAGTGTCTCCCATCAGTGTCTCCCCCATCAGTCTCCCCCATCAGTGTCTCCCATGAGTGTCTCCCATCAGTCTCCGCCATCAGTCTCCCCCATCAGTCTCCCCCATCAGTCTCCCCCATCAGTGTCTCCCATCAGTGTCTCCCATCAGTGTCTCCCATCAGAGTCTCCCCCATCAGTCTCCCCCATCAGTCTCCCCCATCAGTGTCTCCCATCAGTGTCTCCCATCAGTGTCTCCCATCAGAGTCTCCCCCATCAGTCTCCCCCATCAGTCTCCCCCATCAGTGTCTCCCATCAGTCTCCCCCATCAGTGTCTCCCATCAGTGTCTCCCATCAGTCTCCGCCATCAGTCTCCCCCATCAGTCTCCCCCATCAGTCTCCCCCATCAGTGTCTCCCATCAGTGTCTCCCATCAGAGTCTCCCCCATCAGTCTCCCCCATCAGTCTCCCCCATCAGTGTCTCCCATCAGTGTCTCGTGTCTCCCATCAGTGTCTCCCATCAGAGTCTCCCCCATCAGTCTCCCCCATCAGTCTCCCCCATCAGTCTCCCCCATCAGTCTCCCCCATCAGAGTCTCCCATCAGTGTCTCCCCCATCCGTTTTGTGTGTCTCATGTGTGTGTGTCTCTTGTGTGTGTGTCTCTGGTGTGTGTCTCGTGTGTGCGTGTGTCTGGTGTGTGTCTCGTCTGTGTCTCATGTGTGCGTGTGTCTCTGGTGTGTGTCTCGTCTGTGTCTCGTGTGTGCGTGTGTCTCTGGTGTGTGTCTCGTCTGTGTCTCATGTGTGCGTGTGTCTGGTGTGTGTCTCGTCTGTGTCTCGTGTGTGCGTGTGTCTCTGGTGTGTGTCTCGTCTGTGTCTCGTGTGTGCGTGTGTCTCTGGTGTGTGTCTCGTCTGTGTCTCGTGTGTGCGTGTGTCTCTGGTGTGTGTCTCGTCTGTGTCTCGTGTGTGCGTGTGTCTCTGGTGTGTGTCTCGTGTGTGCGTGTGTCTCTGGTGTGTGTCTCGTCTGTGTCTCATGTGTGCGTGTGTCTCTGGTGTGTGTCTCGTCTGTGTCTCGTGTGTGCGTGTGTCTCTGGTGTGTGTCTCGTCTGTGTCTCATGTGTGCGTGTGTCTCTGGTGTGTGTCTCGTCTGTGTCTCGTGTGTGCGTGTGTCTGGTGTGTGTCTCGTCTGTGTCTCGTGTGTGCGTGTGTCTCTGGTGTGTGTCTCGTCTGTGTCTCATGTGTGCGTGTGTCTCTGGTGTGTGTCTCGTCTGTGTCTCGTGTGTGCGTGTGTCTCATGTGTGTGTCTCGTCTGTGTCTCGTGTGTGCGTGTGTCTCTGGTGTGTGTCGTGTGTGTGTTGTTAAGATCCTTTATCTCTGGGGAAATTTCATGGTTGCAGCGCACAGACAGGACAGTAGTGAGAGACAGGGAGAACACACAATAAGTAGCTGCAAAGGCTTCAATACCAGTCTTTCAAAGTATATATTTATATCAATATATATACACATTATACAGTATATATACTGTATACAGTATATATACTGTATACAGTATATATACTGTATATATACACAGATTTAGTTTATTTGCCATTTGCAGTAAAACCACATTGGAATACATTAGTAAAAGTCACCAGTGTGCACAAGACAAATACAGACATAAAACAATAAAAGACAGAAATAAAACAGATAACTAGGTTTCCACGATGTGATGGCTTTAATACCGTTCCACATGCGCCGAGGGTCATCTTCCTCAAAATAACTCTTTAACCTGTCCCCGTAACTGCGCTTTGCAGATTTAATAGAACGTTTCAATGAGTAACAGGATAGCTTATAAGCAACTGTATCATTTGATTGAAACGCCAACGCACGCTCATGAAGTTTCAGTTTCACTTCCGCGTTCATCCAAGGGTTTTGACTAAAATGTTCTTTAATGACCTTCTGTGGGACACAGCAGTAAATACAGAAGCGTATGTATCCAGACACAGCGTCACAGAATGCATTAACATCCTCTGACTGAAACACAGACCAGTCAGTGGCATCAAAACAACCTTGTAGCTTCATGCTAGCCTCCTCGGACCAACACTGCACAGTGCGAGAGGTTGGTTTATGTTCCCTGCTCCTCTGAGTATACGAAGGAAGAAGGAGAACAGAGGAGTGGTCAGACTTTCCAAAAGGAGGTCTGAGACTGGACCTGTAAGCTCCCTTCACGTTACTGTAGCAGTGATCCAGAACATGTGCTCACTGAAAACTCACGGGGAAGATAAAAAGGGCAGCAGCTCAAGACCAGGCATTCCAGATTGGCAGTACATGTTTGGTTCACGACTCGAGTGTCCGTGCACCAGCGCTGATTAATTAAAAAGCACACACCTCCGCCTCTGGCCTTGCCCGTGGTCTCCTTCACTCTGTCCGCACGGTGAGCGGTGAATCCCGGGGGCTGAACAGCAGAGTCCGGGACGTTCGAGTGGAGCCACGTCTCGCTGAGACAGAACACAGTCCCGGGCCTCGCGCTGGCTCTGGACCCGACACAGGAGCTCGTCCGTCTTGTTGGGCAGAGACTGGACGTTGGCCAGGTAGATGGAGGGCAAAGGGGTCCTGGAGGAGCGGCTACGAACGAGCAGACCGCCTCGCCTTCCCCGGTGTCTGCGCCTCCTTCGCCGACTGGAGGTGCCCAGCTCCACACCGCGGAGAGAACGCCGGAGACGCCCAGTCCCCTCGCTCTGTTGGCGGCCCCCGCCGCGGCCCGCCTGCTGTGCTCCACGGGCCTCTTGAGTGGGACACTCGAGGAAGTTAGTGCACCTCAGTTCAGGTAAAACGAGTGACCCGTCACACACAAGGTCCCGAATGTTAAGAAGCGCCTCTCGGTCATACTTCACAGCAGCAAGTGACTCAAAGACAAACAGCAACAAAACACAGATTGTGCACACTAGAGCTCTCACTGCGGTGCCATGACACGGCGCCATCTTGCTCTCTCATATACTGTATATATACTGTTTATATATACAGTATATATACAGTGCCTTGCGAAAGTATTCGGCCCCCTTGAACCTTTCAACATGTCACCACATTTCAGGCTTCAAACATAAAGTTATAAAATTTACATTTTTTGTCATGAATCAACAACAAGTGGGACACAATCGTGAAGTGGAATGAAATTTGTTGGATAATTTAAACTTTTTTAACAAATAAAAAAGTGAAAAGTGGGGCGTATAAATGCACCTGCTCTTTGATAGTCTCAGGGTTCTGTTTAAAGCACAGAGAGAACCATGAAGACAAAGGAACACACCAGGCAGGTCCAAGATACTGTTGTGGAGAAGTTTAAAGCCGGATTTGGATACAAAAAGATTTCCCAAGCTTTAAACATCTCAAGGAGCACTGTGCAAGCAATTATATTGAAATGGAAGGAGTATCAGACCACTGCAAATCTACCAAGACCCGGCCGTCCCTCCAAACTTTCATCTCAAACAAGGAGAAGACTGATCAGAGATGCAGCCAAGAGGCCCACGATCACTCTGGATGAACTGCAGATAACTACAGCTGAGGTGGGGATGGTGTGTTCAGGGTGATGAGCTGTGTTGCTTTTACGCCAAACATATTGTTTTGCATTGTGGCCAAAAAGTTTGATTTTGGTTTCATCTGACCAGAGCACCTTCTTCCACATGTTTGGTGTGTCTCCCAGGTGGCTTGTGGCAAACTTTAAACCAGACTTTTTATGGATATCTTTGAGAAATGGCTTTCTTCTTGCCACTCTTCCATAAAGGCCAGATTTGTGCAGTGCACGACTGATTGTTGTCCTATGGACAGACTCTCCCACCTCAGCTGTAGTTATCTGCAGTTCATCCAGAGTGATCATGGGCCTCTTGGCTGCATCTCTGATCAGTCTTCTCCTTGTTTGAGATGAAAGTTTGGAGGGACGGCCGGGTCTTGGTAGATTTGCAGTGGTCTGATACTCCTTCCATTTCAATATAATTGCTTGCACAGTGCTCCTTGAGATGTTTAAAGCTTGGGAAATCTTTTTGTATCCAAATCCGGCTTTAAACTTCTTCCACAACAGTATCTCGGACCTGCCTGGTGTGTTCCTTTGTCTTCATGGTTCTCTCTGTGCTTTAAACAGAACCCTGAGACTATCAAAGAGCAGGTGCATTTATACGGAGACTTGATTACACACAGGTGCATTCTATTTATCATCATCAGTCATTTAGGACAACATTGGATCATTCAAAGATCCTCACTGAACTTCTGGACTGAGTTTGCTGCACTGAAAGTAAAGGGGCCCAATAATATTGCACGCCCCACTTTTCACTTTTTTATTTGTTAAAAAAGTTTAAATTATCCAATAAATTTCGTTCCACTTCACGATTGTGTCCCACTTGTTGTTGATTCATGACAAAAAATAAATTTTTTATATCTTTATGTTTGAAGCCTGAAATGTGGCAAAATGTTGAAAGGTTGAAGGGGGCCGATTACTTTCGCAAGGCACTATATATATATATATATATATATATAATATTGTGTGTCTCAGGTGTGTGTGTTTTGTGTGTCTCAGGTGTGTGTGTGTGGGGGGGCTGAAAGATCAAGGCTATGCTCACACTCAGAGAGCAGCCGTCCTCCTGTGGACTCACCACCTGCAGAGGGTCAGTGAGGGGCTGGTGCATCTCTGACTGCCACCCCCCTGACCCAGAAATGGATTAAAGGGAAGAAAATGGATGGATGTGTGTGTGTGTTGTGTGTCTCATGTGTGTCTCAGGTGTGTGTGTTGTGTGTCTCATGTGTGTGTGTTGTGTGTGTCTCAGGTGTGTGGTGCCCCCCTCCCCCTCCCTCCTAAAAAGCTGCTGAGGAACATGGAGAGGGAGTTTGTGGCAGAGCGTCAGAGAGGACTACAGGTGTATGTGGACTACATTTCCCAGCATCCTCTGCTCTGCTCCTGCCTCAGCGTCAAAAGGTTCTTGGACCCAGACAACTACTGTGCTAACTATACAGGTACACAACACACAACTATACAGGTACACAACTATACAGGTTTTCTAGTTGGTGCAAATTCCCCACTTGAAAGGGAAAGACTCTGCACTTATGGTTTCCAGCTGATGTCACTCAAAGACTCTGCACTTATGGTTTCCAGCTGATGTCACTCAAAGACCCTGCACTTATGGTTTCCAGCTGATGTCACTCAAAGACTCTGCACTTATGGTTTCCAGCTGATGTCACTCAAAGACCCTGCACTTATGGTTTCCAGCTGATGTCACTCAAAGACTCTGCACTTATGGTTTCCAGCTGATGTCACTCAAAGACTCTGCACTTATGGTTTCCAGCTGATGTCACTCAAAGACTCTGCACTTATGGTTTCCAGCTGATGTCACTCAAAGACTCTGCACTTATGGTTTCCAGCTGATATCACTCAAAGACTCTGCACTTATGGTTTCCAGCTGATGTCACTCAAAGACTCTGCACTTATGGTTTCCAGCTGATGTCACTCAAAGACTCTGCACTTATGGTTTCCAGCTGATGTCACTCAAAGACTCTGCACTTATGGTTTCCAGCTGATGTCACTCAAAGACCCTGCACTTATGGTTTCCAGCTGATGTCACTCAAAGACTCTGCACTTATGGTTTCCAGCTGATGTCACTCAAAAGCAGCCGTGGGTCTTGGTTTTCATGCCATTTATTGGGTTCAGGTGAAAAACCTCAAAAGAGAACAGAAATATACAATTTTAAATAAACTGTCATTTAATCGCTGCTAGTAAATCAAAATAGTGTTCTACCCAGATAAATAATCTATGGTTTTAACCTGTTTCAGACCTTTTTGAACAGTTCTGCATCCTTATAGTTTGTTAAATGGTATAGTATTTTAATAGTGTTATTGTATTAACAACTGCCACTTAGCTAAATAAGTTACAAAAGTAAAGTCTTTTTTTGTAAATATTTTTTACAAAAGCTATGAACTACATTTGAATCATATCTTATCTTTTATGCTTCTATCAAACAAGGGGAGACTTACTATGAATCGGACCATACATTTTTTACACACATTTTAAACATTAAGTAATGAATTTGGGAACATATTTACTAACTGCACTTTTTAAACATGAACAGGTTTTAACTCGGTTTTTAACTTCATATTTTTGACAAAGTATTGTCGATCAAGGGCGACAGTAGCTCAGTTGGTAGAGCATTGGCCTTAAGGCCAGAAGGTCGTGGGTTCAATTCCCACCTCTGCACCTTCTCCACCGACTCCCACTGATGACTGCTGTCGTTGTGTCATCTTGAGTTGCCACCCAAGATGAGACTTGGGTGGCATCTCTGACTGCCACCCCCCTGACCCAGAAATGGATTAAAGGGAAGAAAATGGATGGATGGATATTGTCGATCAATAGTAAATTAATAATGTTTAATCAATCAATCAATTAACCCTGATTTGTTCCTGGAGTTTTGTTTTGTTTGTCTAAACACAGTACAACATTTATAAAGAATCAAAACAGAGTCTGTGCTTCCGCTGCTCCAGAGCGCTCTTGAACGCATCATGTACGGCTCTGCGTACGCAGTGAGTCACCGGTGGCGAGTGTTGACGGCGCTTACCGGCTGTGGCTGCCGGATTCGTCCTGAAGTTCAGTTTGCGCATGTCCAGGAGTGTAAATAAACATGTAAACAGTTTGTGTTGTTATATACAGATTATATTCTTGATTTGTGCTCACATGTGTCAAGGTTTATTACGAGAAATGGCGGAAAAAGAGCTCCGAGAAAAAAGTAGTTTTAGTAGCCACGCAGCTAGCGCCCAGATGAGGCTAGCACATAGACAGGTTAATTCTGGATTAGATACACTGTCCTTTACTTGTTTAAATATCATACATCTGTTATGTGGATCCCTGTGTTTATTTATTAGTTAAACAAGTAAAGGACAGTGAATCTAATCCAGAATAAACAACGTGCACGTTAGCATATGCTACTTCCGGTAGGAAAACTCCTGTTCGGTTCTTCATTTCCGGTGACATCGGCGCTGTGTTTAAGTTTGGTGGGAGTCTCAGTTCAAGGTCTGGTTTGGTGTTTAAAATGTCTCAAGCAAATGCAGATTTTAATTTTACCAGACATATCCATCAATGGTGTCCATCGCATTGTACAATCTTTTTCTCCTGCTCCTCAGTGTAAACGTGAAAAAGGATTTCAATTTTATATCTCGCAGTATTGCATACTGTATTGGAAAAAGGTAAGTGACAACAACACAGCAATCAATCAATCAACGTTTATTTGTAGAGCGCCTTTCCTACACAAGGCAACGCAAAGCGCCTCACAACCCATATAACATCTAACTTTAAAGACCTTATGCCGGGTTTTTATTTTTTTAAATTGTGGATATCTAAATTGCATGACAATGTCGATCTGAAATAGATTCCGGCAAAAAAAATCCTATATTTTATTAAAAGAAGGTGTTTTTCATGAATTTAAGTTGTCTATGCTCTAACCTGTGTGTGACGTCATTGCGGGTAACGCCCATGCATTGAAAACCAGTGTTGTGCCAGTTCACAGCTTTTCTGAACTAGTTCAAGTTCAGTTCATACATGCTCAAAGTGAACAGTTCACGTTCAAAGTTCACATTTTTAATTCTGAACTAGTTCAAAGTTCAGTTCATTTTACTTTTTTCGTGAAAGTCAAATACATACTTTTTTTTCACACTACGAGCTCTATAATTTTTTATAATTATATATATATATATATCTCCTGTACACCCAAAAGTGCGAGAATACAGGAGGGAGGAACTTTCTCTCGTTGCGTTTCAAAAGAGAAAACAGATTCCAACGTTCACAGTGATGTCTGCCTTTCATGACACATTAAATGAACTAATTCACGTTCAAGTTCTTTTTTTAAAAATGTGTTGCGTTCAGTTCAACGTTCACAAAAAAATGAGCGTGTTCAATGAACGCGTTCTTTTGAACTCGTTCACGCACAACACTGTTGAAAACCATGGATCTATGCCACACAGGACTGCCTTTTCTCTCTTCTCTCCACTGATGCCCAACACAATACTGCCCTCTACAGGTGACAATTGCTCACTACACATAAATTGCCGTTTTGAGTGTGAAAATGTGTCTGAGGTGGGAATTGAACCCCAGTATCTGGATTGACAGTCCATCGACACAACCACTGGACTATCTCAGTGACAACAGTGTTATAATCTAGTATTTATGTCAGAGTCGCTGTACACGGCTTTGTCATCTTGAATATCCGCGAAAAAAGAACGAATACCAAATTGTAAACAACAGCGTTGAAACGTACCCACTCTGACGTCACCAAGGGCTGTGAAGATTTTCCGTCTCTAAGGGCGTTGCTATGGGGTTATTTTGATTTGGGGGGATCAGACAAAAACAACAACAACAGATTTTGAAACGTTTAGTAGTTCTCTTCTAATATAAAATGGTATTAAAACTACTTCTAAATAAATCAAACCCGGCATAAGGTCTTTAAGTAGCAATATTATGTAACTATACTAAAGAAAGGATGTTATCTGAGCAGATATACTGTGTTAGCAAGTGCATTTTCAGCAACTACTCCAAACATAGTTAACTATCATAAACGAGGACTCTTGTCAACTAAGAACCTCTCTACTACATGCTAATAACACCCAAAACACCATTATGAAACAACTTCACTAGCAGGGTTAGGGTTCGGGTTAACCTAACATCGGGAGGACAACTTGGAGTTTCAATTGAGCTAGATTTCAAACACAAGGCACTGCTGGTATTTCGTTGTACTCAACAAATATACAAAAAAAACATGGATTAGTACACAAAGATTAGACATTAAGGTAAACAGCTAGTCTGAACACTTCACCATACCTAACATTAAACAGATTTACATTTTGATAATAATAAACATGAAAATAATGGGTTGTGTTATTGTTAAAGGACAACTCACCCTCAAACTTTTTTTTGCTGATAAACTATTTAAATGAGTGTCCAATAGTGTTGTCTACATATCCTGGTCATAATTTTGTCACTTTGGTGCAAATTAGTTGAAAGTTAAACTTTCTGCCTAAAACCGTCTGTGAGGCGCCATCTGCTGGCGACCTGTATTACTACATTTGAATTTTGAATCTGGCGCCAACACTGGCGCGGCAGCAAGACCTGACGTCTGAAGCAAGACCTGACGTCTGAAGCAAGACCTGACGTCTGAAGCAAGACCTGACGTCTGAAGCAAGACCTGACGTCTGAAGCAAGACCTGACGTCTGAAGCAAGACCTGACGTCTGAAGCAAGACCTGACGTCTGAAGCAAGACCTGACGTCAGCAGCAAGACCTGACGTCAGCAGCAAGACCTGACGTCAGCAGCAAGACCTGACGTCAGCAGCAAGACCTGACGTCAGCAGCAAGACCTGACGTCAGCAGCAAGACCTGACGTCAGCAGCAAGACCTGACGTCAGCAGCAAGACCTGACGTCAGCAGCAAGACCTGACGTCAGCAGCAAGACCTGACGTCAGCAGCAAGACCTGACGTCAGCAGCAAGACCTGACGTCAGCAGCAAGACCTGACGTCAGCAGCAAGACCTGACGTCAGCAGCAAGACCTGACGTCAGCAGCAAGACCTGACGTCTGAAGCAAGACCTGACGTCTGAAGCAAGACCTGACGTCTGCAGCAAGACCTGACGTCTGAAGCAAGACCTGACGTCTGCAGCAAGACCTGACGTCTGCAGCAAGACCTGACGTCTGAAGCAAGACCTGACGTCTGAAGCAAGACCTGACGTCTGAAGCAAGACCTGACGTCTGCAGCAAGACCTGACGTCTGAAGCAAGACCTGACGTCTGCAGCAAGACCTGACGTCTGAAGCAAGACCTGACGTCTGAAGCAAGACCTGACGTCTGAAGCAAGACCTGACGTCTGAAGCAAGACCTGACGTCTGAAGCAAGACCTGACGTCTGAAGCAAGACCTGACGTCTGAAGCAAGACCTGACGTCTGAAGCAAGACCTGACGTCTGCAGCAAGACCTGACGTCTGCAGCAAGACCTGACGTCTGAAGCAAGACCTGACGTCTGCAGCCCCCCGCCCAGAGCAATGTAAACGGCCCAGTCTCGTTCACGCCCCCTTTAGTCTTCCAGGCTACGCCCATTTAGAGGAAGATTTGAACAGGAAATGTGAGTGACGTAAGCTCTGAGCAGAAGGGAGGAGCAGAAGGGAGGAGGGTGTTTGGCACCTCCTTTCAGTGCAGTCCACAATTACTTGTGTGTTTCTATAAGTCCCATTCAAATCTGTGGGGCAGGTTGCGCTCACTTTCTCGGCTGTCATCCAGATGGAGATGGATCCAAAAGTTGGACCATGTCACAATTATCCTACTAATTTCTGAAAACAAAAAAAAAAACATAAATTGATAGATGACAATAAAGTTACAATACACAAACTAAGGGGATTACAATAATCAGTGTGATGTAGTGTAGAAATTTGATTAAATAATTAAAACCTATATACATGATTTAACTAGAGGCAAAAAAGAATCAGCTGATGTCTAGTGAGGGTAGCACCTGAACAAACAACAAGAGCAATAGAGAAGGAAGTTATAGGGAGAACTTCCAGTTGTTGGAGTCAGAGAACTCTCAGTGGATGTGCCGTCGGAAAGGTTCTTCTGGCCACTAGTGACCACAGGACTCTCGGTGGATGTGCCGTCGGAAAGGTTCTTCTGGTCACTAGTGACCACAGGACTCTCGGTGGATGTGCCGTCGGAAAGGTTCTTCTGGTCACTAGTGACCACAGGACTCTCAGTGGATGTGCCGTCGGAAAGGTTCTTCTGGCCACTAGTGACCACAGGACTCTCGGTGGATGTGCCGTCGGAAAGGTTCTTCTGGTCACTAGTGACCACAAGACTCTCGGTGGATGTGCCGTCGGAAAGGTTCTTCTGGCCACTAGTGACCACAGGACTCTCGGTGGATGTGCCGTCGGAAAGGTTCTTCTGGTCACTAGTGACCACAGGGCTCTCGGTGGATGTGCCGTCGGAAAGGTTCTTCTGGCCACTAGTGACCACAGGAGTCTCGATGGATGTGCTGTTGGAAAGGTTCTTCTGGTCACTAGTGACCACAGGACTCTCGGAAAGGTTCTTCTGGCCACTAGTGACCACAGGACTCTCGGTGGATGTGCCGTCGGAAAGGTTCTTCTGGTCACTAGTGACCACAGGACTCTCGGTGGATGTGCTGTCGGAAAGGTTCTTCTGGTCACTAGTGACCACAGGACTCTCGGTGGATGTGCCGTCGGAAAGGTCCTTCTGGTCACTAGTGACCACAGGACTCTCGGTGGATGTGCCATCGGAAAGGTTCTTCTGGCCACTAGTGACCACAGGACTCTCGGTGGATGTGCTGTCGGAAAGGTTCTTCTGGTCACTAGTGACCACAGGACTCTCAGAAAGGTTCTTCTGGCCACTAGTGACCACAGGACTCTCGGTGGATGTGCCGTCGGAAAGGTTCTTCTGGTCACTAGTGACCACAGGACTCTCGGTGGATCTGCCGTCGGAAACGTTCTTCTGGTCACTAGTGACCACAGGACTCTCGGTGGATGTGCCTTCGGAAAGGTTCTTCTGGCCACTAGTGACCACAGGACTCTCGGTGGATGTGCCGTCGGAAAGCACTGAAGAGAAAGTGCCGGAGGGTCGAGCGGAAGTGGCGCAAGTCCAACCTCCAGGTTGATTACAAGATCTTCAAGGATAAGTTGTGCGAGTTTAACCAGGTGCTACGTAGTACGAGAGAAAGGTATTTTTCTGAAATGATTGAAGGCTGCAGTAACAACCTGCATGTTCTGTTTTCAACAGTTAATAGATTAACAAACCCCCCTGTTCAGATGCCATTAGAGCTTACGTCCAAATGTAAATGCAATGAGTTTGCACACTTTTTCAATGACAAGGTTCAAGGCATCAAAAACGCCATTGTCTCCAATCCACAGATAACAATCTTACAGCCAGAAAGCCTTTGAGCTAACTCACTTTGCACCTGTAGATGATAAAAATGTCCAAGAGATAATCTCCAGTCTGAGCTCCTCCACATGCAGCCTGGATGTACTACCCACTAGATTTCTGAAGTCTATTCTGAGCAGTCTGTTACCTTCACTCACACAGATAGTAAACATGTCCCTTCATTCTGGAATATTCCCAAAGGCCCTGAAAACTGCAGTCATCAGGCCCCTGCTAAAAAAGAGCAGTCTGGATGCCACTGTACTTAACAACTATCGTCCCATCTCAAATCTGCCATTTATGGGGAAAGTCCTTGAAAAAGTTGTCTACCTAAAGCTTACTAGATTTCTTATAATCAACAACTCATTTGATATGTTTCAGTCCGGCTTTAGACCCCACCACAGCACTGAGACTGCTCTCGTTAAGGTTACAAACGATATCCGGCTAAATACTGACGCAGGCCAAGTCTCAATCTTAATCTTGTTAGATCTGAGTGCTGCCTTTGACACCGTCGACCTTGAGATCCTCTTACAGAGACTAGAGGACTGGGTTTGGCGTCGCTGGCACCGCCCTAAATTGGTTTAGGTCTTACCTTGAAGACAGGAAGTACTTTGTGGAGATTGGAAACTGTGTCTCAGATCATATGGCCCTGACCTGTGGAGTACCACAGGGGTCGATCCTGGGACCTCTTCTGTTCAATCTCTACATGCTGCCGTTAGGTCAGTTAATACGCAGAAACAAAGTGTCCTATCACAACTATGCAGAAGACACTCAGATCTATGTCTCACTGACTGCAGGAGAACATGGACCAGTGGACTCACTCCTTCACTGTATCCAACAGATCAGTGAGTGGATGCAAAACAACTTCCTTCAACTAAACACTGACAAAACTGAAATGATTGTCTTTGGTCCCCAGAAACAAAGAGAGAGCGTCATCTGTCACCTACAGTCTCTCTCCCTAAAACCTTCAAACAAGGTCAGAAATCTAGGGGTAATACTGGACTCAGACTTAAATTTTAATAGCCACATCAAATCAGTAACATCAGCAGCTTTTTACCATCTAAAAAACATTTCCAGGATCAAAAACATAGTGTCTAAAGCAGACCTGGAGATTCTTATCCATGCATTTGTCTCCAGTAGGTTAGACTACTGCAATGGCCTGCTCACAGGTCTGTCCAAACAGGCTGTAAAACAGCTGCAGTACATTCAAAATGCAGCAGCTCCAGTCCTGACTAGAACCAGGAAGTACGACCATATTAGTCCTGACTAGAACCAGGAAGTACGACCACATTAGTCAGGTCCTCAAGTCTCTGCACTGGCTTCCTGTGGCTCAGAGAATAGACTTTAAAACAGCTCTGCTTGTTACAAGTCTCTCCATGGCCTCGCACCAAAATATATTAGTGACATGTTAGTCCCATATGAACCAGCCCGGACTCTGAGGAGCACAGGGACTGGACTCCTGCTGGGACTCTGAGGAGCACAGGGACTGGACTCCTGCTGGGACTCTGAGGAGCACAGGGACTGGACTCCTGCTGGGACTCTGAGGAGCACAGGGACTGGCCTCCTGCTGGGACTCTGAGGAGCACAGGGACTGGACTCCTGCTGGGACTCTGAGGAGCACAGGGACTGGACTCCTGCTGGGACTCTGAGGAGCACAGGGACTGGACTCCTGCTGGGACTCTGAGGAGCACAGGGACTGGACTCCTGCTGGGACTCTGAGGAGCACAGGGACTGGACTCCTGCTGGGACTCTGAGGAGCACAGGGACTGGCCTCCTGCTGGGACTCTGAGGAGCACAGGGACTGGACTCCTGCTGGGACTCTGAGGAGCACAGGGACTGGACTCCTGCTGGGACTCTGAGGAGCACAGGGACTGGACTCCTGTTAGTGCCCAGAGTCAGAACTAAACATGGGGAGACTGCTTTTCAGATTCATGCTGCTAAAATCTGGAACAGTCTTCCTGAAGATATGAGACAGGCCTCCTCTCTGACAATGTTTAAAACCAGGTTAAAGACAGTTCTGTTTAGCTGTGCTACAACTGAGGGATTTTATATTTTTATCTTTTTAATGTTCTGTGATTATTTATGATTTTAATGCTTTCTTGCAGCACGGTGGCTGAGTGGATAGCACTCTCGCCTCTCAGCAAGAAGGTCCTGGGTTCGAATCCTGGTCAGACCAGGGCCTTTCTGAGTGGAGTTTGCATGTTCTCCCCGTGTCTGCGTAGGTTTACTCCGGGTACTCCGGTTTCCCCTACCACTAAAAATATGTACAATAGGTCTGGCATGTGCCTCCTGTTCGGCGACCCCGCTCCCATCTCTGCGTGGAGTGAGAGGACAAGTGCCCAAAAATAACAATTGTAAACCGCTTTGTGACTCTGGTCTGTGAAAAGCGGTATATAAATAGACATTACTTACTTACTTACTTACTTGTTTTGTTCAGCACTTTGAGTTGCCTTGTGTATGAATTGTGCTATATAAATAAACTTGCCTTGCCTTGCCTTACTACAACTATACTACAGCTACACACAACTAAACTCTCTCCTCCCCCTCTCTCCTCCGCCTCTCTCCCCTCCCCCTCTACCCCTCTCTTCTCCCCCTCTCTCCTCCCCCTCTGCCCCTCTCTCCTCCCCCTCTACCCCTCTCTCCCCCCAGAGATGGCTCTACAGCAGGTGTCCATGTTCTTCAGGTCTGATCCTCAGTGGGAGGTGCAGGAGCCGCTCAAAGACCTCGGTGAGACGAGACGAGACACACTGTATTTATCTCACGCAGGAGAAATGTACATGTCACATTTGGCATGGATAGAAACACTCAGATTGTGCAAAAAGTAAGAAATTTGCAAACATGTTAAATGCAGGATATATTATGTAGAATAAAAAAAGTTTCAATTTAAAGAGTGGCAATCAGAAACAGTGTCTATAGTAGTGCAGGTTTTTTTTAAACAGTGACTTAAAGTGACTTGTTGTACAGTCTGACAGTGGTGGGGATAAAGGCCCTGCTCCTTCTTCCACTGAAGGAGCTCCTCAGCTCCTCCTCAGTCCTGTGCAGTGGGAGGTGTTGTTCATGATGGAGGTGACTTTATAGCACCTCCTGTCCCTCACCTCCTCCACAGAGTCCAGGGCCCTCTGTCCCTCACCTCCTCCACAGAGTCCAGGGGCCTCCTGTCCCTCACCTCCTCCACAGAGTCCAGGGGCCTCTTGTCCCTCACCTCCTCCACAGAGTCCAGGGGCCTCCTGTCCCTCACCTCCTCCTGACCAGCTTCTTCAGTCTGCTCCTGTCCCGCTCTGTGCTGCCCGGGACCCAGCACATGGCAGCGTAGTATATGGCAGAGGCCTGCTCACTCCGAAGGACCTCAGCCTCCTCAGAAGGACCTCAGCCTCAGAAGGACCTCAGCCTCCTCAGAAGGACCTCAGCCTACTCAGAAGGACCTGAGCCTCCTCAGAAGGACCTCAGCCTCTTCAGAAGAACCTCAGCCTCCTCAGAAGGACCTCAGCCTCAGAAGAAGCTCAGCCTCCTCAGAAGGACCTCAGCCTTGCTTTTGCAAGAGATTAACTTTCAAGAGAGAGAGAGACTGAGCAAGATGGCGCCGTGTCATGGCACCGCAGTGAGAGCTCTAGTGTGCACAATCTGTGTTTTGTTGCTGTTTGTCTTTGAGTCACTTGCTGCTGTGAAGTATGACCGAGAGGCGCTTCTTAACATTCGGGACCTTGTGTGTGACGGGTCACTCGTTTTACCTGAACTGAGGTGCACTAACTTCCTCGAGTGTCCCACTCAAGAGGCCCGTGGAGCACAGCAGGCGGGCCACGGCGGGGGCCGCCAACAGAGCGAGGGGACTGGGCGTCTCCGGCGTTCTCTCCGCGGTGTGGAGCTGGGCACCTCCAGTCGGCGAAGGAGGCGCATACACCGGGGAAGGCGAGGCGGTCTGCTCGTTCGTAGCCGCTCCTCCAGGACCCCTTTGCCCTCCATCTACCTGGCCAACGTCCAGTCTCTGCCCAACAAGACGGACGAGCTCCTGTGTCGGGTCCAGAGCCAGCGCGAGGCCCGGGACTGTGTTCTGTCTCAGCGAGACGTGGCTCCACTCTAACGTCCCGGACTCTGCTGTTCAGCCCCCGGGATTCACCGCTCACCGCTCGGACAGAGTGAAGGAGACCACGGGCAAGGCCAGAGGCGGAGGTGTGTGCTTTTTAATTAATCAGCGCTGGTGCACGGACACTCGAGTCGTGAACCAAACATGTACTGCCAATCTGGAATGCCTGGTCTTGAGCTGCTGCCCTTTTTATCTTCCCCGTGAGTTTTCAGTGATATTTGTATGTGCTGTTTACATTCACCCACGTGCGGATTACAAAGTAGCACTACAGGATCTGAGCGAGATCCTTCACAAACATGAGTCTGCTCATCCTAACGCAGTCATCATTGTTGCTGGGATTTCAATAAATGTAATTTAAAGACTGTACTCCCGAACTTTTACCAACATGTGACTCAAGCTACAAGAGGAGCACATGTTCTGGATCACTGCTACAGTAACGTGAAGGGAGCTTACAGGTCCAGTCTCAGACCTCCTTTTGGAAAGTCTGACCACTCCTCTGTTCTCCTTCTTCCTTCGTATACTCAGAGGAGCAGGGAACATAAACCAACCTCTCGCACTGTGCAGTGTTGGTCTGAGGAGGCTAGCATGAAGCTACAAGGTTGTTTTGATGCCACTGACTGGTCTGTGTTTCAGTCAGAGGATGTTAATGCATTCTGTGACGCTGTGTCTGGATACATACGCTTCTGTATTTACTGCTGTGTCCCACAGAAGGTCATTAAAGAACATTTTAGTCAAAACCCTTGGATGAACGCAGAAGTGAAACTGAAACTTCATGAGCGTGCGTTGGCGTTTCAATCAAATGATACAGTTGCTTATAAGCTATCCTGTTACTTGAAACGTTCTATTAAATTTGCAAAGCGCAGTTAAGGGGACAGGTTAAAGAGTCATTTTGAGGAAGATGACCCTCGGCGCATGTGGAACGGTATTAAAGCCATCACATCGTGGAAACCTAGTGCTGGGAAAACTGCATCTGTCGGCCAAGCTCTGCCAAACGAGCTGAACACGTTCTACTGTCGCTTTGAATCCGCTGATGCCTGTCCTACTGTATTCCCTGAGTGTTTCAATCAAGGTACCTTCACCGTGACTCAGGAGGAAGTCAGGCGTGTCTTGTCCAGGACCATAGTCCAGAAAGCCCCTGGCCCGGACGGCATCCCTCCTCGTGTCCTGAAACTGTGCTCTGAGCAACTTGCCCCTGTGCTAACAGACATTTTCAACCTGTCGCTAAGGAACTGTACTGTGCCGAACTGCTTTAAAGAGTCCACCATCATTCCAGTTCCTAAGAAAACTCCTGTGACATGCCTGAATGACTATCGTCCTGTGGCCCTCACGTCTGTTCTTATGAAAACTTTTGAGCGGCTTGTGCTGGACTTCATTAAGAGCCAGATCCCTGTGAGTGTTGACCCGCTCCAGTTTGTTACAGACAGAACAGGAGTGTGGAGGATGCATCTCCTTTGCTCTGAACTCTGTCTACAGTCACTTGGACACTAGTAAATCTGTGGCCAGAATGCTTTTCATCCATTATAGCTCTGCTTTTAACTGCCTTGTCCCAGGTAAACTGATTGAAAAGCTCATGTCTCTGGGTTTAAGTGTTGCCATGTGTAAATGGATTTTTAGCTTTTTAACTGACAGATCTCAGAGAGTGAAAATTAATGAGTGTTTTTCTGATGTTGTTTCTGTGAGCACTGGTTCTCCTCAGGGATGTATTTTGAGTCCTTTGCTTTTTACTTTGTACACTCACGATTGTGTGTCCTCCTCTGACTCAAACTTGATCATCAAATATGCTGATGACACCACCATCATCGGTCTCATCAGTGACACTGATGAATCCTCTTATAGAGCAGAGATACAAAATGTGGTTCAGTGGAGTCAAACTAACAACCTCCAGTTGAACGCATCCAAAACATGTGAACTGGTCTACGACTTCAGTCGCAATAGTTCTCATTTGTCTGTCGTAATCGACAACTCCCAGGTGCAGATCGTAGAGGAGCAAGTTTCTGGGTTTAACTCTGTCTAACCTGAAATGGGTTAAAAACACTGACCGAGTCGTTAAGAAAGCTCGTCAGCGTCTCTACTTTCTGCGTAAACTTAGAGAATTTACCACTAACTCTAAGATTGTGCTTAACTTTTATGGCTGCACCATTGAGAGTTTACTTATTGGTTCTGTGTCTGTGTGGTTTGGAAACATCACAGATAAAGAAAAGAGAGCTTTAAACAAGGTGCTCCGCTCTGCAAAGAGGACCGTGGGCTGTGAGCTTCCTGTTCTGGAGGTTCTTTATAAATCCACACTTTTAAACAAAGCTCTTAGGATTGTTAATGACTCTTCTGGCCACCCTGGGAAAGCCATGTTCCAGCTTCTTCCCTCTGGCAGAAGATATCGTTCTCTGAGATGCAGGACATCTCGTTACGCTAACAGTTTTTATCCACAGGCTGTTATCAGTGTGAACAAAGCACTTTAATGATTTGCACTTGTTTTGAAACTGTTTTAGTCGATCGATTTCACAGTGACATTTGTTTACTGTTTTATTTGTTTTATTTCTGTCTTTTAATGTTTTTTTTATGTCTGTATTTGTCTGTGCACACTGGAGACTTTTGCTAATGTATTCCAATGTGGTTGTTTTACTGCAAATGGCAAATAAACTGAATCTGAATCTGAATCTGCATGGAGTCTCTGTACCCACTGCCTCTCCCGCCGCACATGCTGTTCTCGCACGGACGTGTTTAACCATTGACACGGCTCTGAAACACAATCTTTAGATCCATGGCTATTATAATAGATCCATGATCCATGGACGCTACACATGGTGCGGTTGTTGTTTTTGCATTCCCAGAAAGTTTTGCAATTTGTAGTCGGCTGTGATAGGTCGAGAAGTCTCTGCCTACATCCCCCAGTTTTCTATTGATATCGAACACGTGTCTATCGCGATATATATTGTTATCGTTTTATCGCCCAGCCCTAATATAGATATTATACATGTATAAATATGTATACTGTATATATACTGTAATATATATGTATATATATGTATATATATATATATATATATATATATATATATACACACATTATAAGTGTGTAAATATATATTGATAAGTTCTGTTTCAGGATGGAGAATCAGAAAGAAGTATTTCATGATCAAGAACAAGGAGCAGCCCAAGGACAGGTTCCTGCTCAGCTGGGTAATAACACAGAGCACACAGAGCAGAGGGTAATAACACAGAGCACACAGAGCAGAGGGTAATAACACAGAGCACACAGAGCAGAGGGTAATAACACAGAGCAGAGGGTAATAACACAGAGCACACAGAGCAGAGGGTAATAACACAGAGCACACAGAGCAGAGGGTAATAACACAGAGCACACAGAGCAGAGGGTAATAACACAGAGCAGAGGGTAATAACACAGAGCACACAGAGCAGCATCAAAGCGACTGAAAAATAAGTTCAGTTCGTCAGCTAGCTTGTGGTCGTCAGCACGGGGGGGCTTTGGGCTTGTAGTTGGTGATCTCCCGTAGGCCCCTCCAGACAGAAGCAGTATCGTTGTTACCAAACTGCTCCTGTAGTCGTTCTCTGTGCCGGGACTTGGCTGCTTTCAGTTCTTTCCTGAACTGATATTTAGCTGCTTTGTAGCCGCTGCGGTCCCCCTCCCTGAAAGCAGACTCCTTTGCTTTCCTGAGCTGCCGGAGTTTAGCAGTGAACCAGGGTTTGTCGTTGTTATAGATGACCCTGGTCCTTGTTGGAATGATGCTATCCTCACAGAAGTGAATGTATGACGTCACAGTGTCCGTCTATTCATCCAAACTATCTGTGGCAGCTCTGAAAAGGTCCCAGTCTGTAGATTCCATGCATGCAGCTCTTCCACAGCTTCATCAGACCACACTTTGGAGCTCCTCACTGCAGGTTTCGAGAGCTTTAGTCTCTGTCTGTAAGCAGGAACCAGATGTATCATGGAGTGATCTGAGAAGCCGAGGGCTGGCTTGGGAACAGCGCGAAAAGCTCCGCGCACGGTGGTGTAACAGTGATCCAGAGTGTTCTCCTCTCTGGTCGGGCATTTGATAAACTGTCTGTATTTGGGTAATTCCTGGCTCAAGTTTCCCTTATTAAAATCCCCCAGGATAATAATCAGAGAGTCCGGGTATAAACGTTCCATACACAGTACTTGCTCTGCGAGTGCGCGCTGAGCCTCGTGCACGTCCGCGCATGGCGGTATGTAAACAGAGGCAAGAATGAATGAAACAAACTCACGAGGGGAGTAAAATGGTTTACAATGAATGAAAAGATATTCCAGAGCAGGAGAGCAGTGCTTGGAGATCACTGTCACATCGTTACACCAGTTTGTATTGACGTAGAAACACAGCCCACCGCCTCTGCTCTTCCCTGAGAGCGCACAATGGAGGACACAGAGGACACCAGGTCTCAGTGAAGCAGAGGACACAGAGGACACCAGGTCTCAGTGAAGCAGAGGACACAGAGGACACCAGGTCTCAGTGAAGCAGAGGACACAGAGGACACCAGGTCTCAGTGAAGCAGAGGACACAGAGGACACCAGGTCTCAGTGAAGCAGAGGACACAGAGGACACCAGGTCTCAGTGAAGCAGAGGACACAGAGGACACCAGGTCTCAGTGAAGCAGAGGACACAGAGGACACCAGGTCTCAGTGAAGCAGAGGACACCAGGTCCCAGTGAAGCAGAAGACACAGAGGACACCAGGTCTCAGTGAAGCAGAGGACACAGAGGACACCAGGTCTCAGTGAAGCAGAGGACACAGAGGACACCAGGTCTCAGTGAAGCAGAGGACACAGGATGAAGTCCTTGTTTCTTCTCATGAGCAGGCTGAGTTCGTCTTATTGCCCAGTGAGCGTACGTTGGACAGAAAAATGCCGGGGAGAGGCTCCTCTCCTCCTCAGACGCACGAGCAGCCTCCGCGCTTTCCCCTTTTACGGGCCCACACTTTTTTGGCTAGAACATGGACTAAATCAGCCGCAGATGCCATGAAAACAGGCAATAGGTCCATGGGAACGGTGGGTCGGATGTTCATAAGTTCCTCACGGGTGTAGGAACAGCCAGATGCACAGTTAAAAAGTAAAAACAAAAGAAAAAGAGAGCAGCAAAGAGCCATGTTGACCGTACGAGGCGCCATCTTTGATTTGAATTATTATACCACAGTATCTCAGTATACCACAGTATCTCAGTATTCCACAGTATCTCAGTATACCACAGTATCTCAGTATACCACAGTATCTCAGTATACCACAGTATCTCAGTATTCCACAGTATCTCAGTATACCACAGTATCTCAGTATACCACAGTATCTCAGTATACCACAGTATCTCAGTATACCACAGTATCTCAGTATACCACAGTATCTCAGTATACCACAGTATCTCAGTATACCACAGTATCTCAGTATACCACAGTATCTCAGTATTCCACAGTATCTCAGTATACCACAGTATCTCAGTATACCACAGTATCTCAGTGTACCACAGTATCTCAGT